TTGGGACATCGCTCCATGCCCGCTGCTGGCTGCTGCGCCAGGCTGCGGCATCTGCATGGCACTGAAAAGGTCCTGCCAGCTGTGCCAGATGTTTCCAACCTCCAGCAGCCGGAGCCTGGAGCCAAAGGGCCAAGCTTGCTCCCATCTTCCCACAAGGGATGGACCGTGGGGTAGATCTGGTTGGTAACTTGGATCAAGGGTACCTGGGAAGAGGGTCTGGGGAGATCTGCACCCACGTGGGTTTGACTGAGAAAGCGGAGACACTTTCAAGATCCTCTTGATCTTGGAAAAAGGGGACAGTTTCAATACAGGAAGCATTATTCTCCCACCAGACAACAAAAGGACCGTGGCTCCCAAACAGCTCCTTGTTTCATGTGTATGAAACCTGTGCTTGAATGGACCCACAAATGCCGCCCAGCAGTAGCCATCCGTGCCATTACCCCGGCAGCCACGTCCTGGACCTGTTTGCCGTGGCAGACCTTGGTGGCGGGCGAGGTTTCCAAAAGCTCTCAGCATTTCCCGAGCTCGACTCGCTTTGAAGGCAGCGGGAGGGGTTGTTTGTCTCTTTCTGCCTGTTTTTTCCCCTCATTAGCTTCAGTGGAAAAAGAGCGCAGCCACCGCAGAGGCTTTGGGAAATCGCAGCCGATTGTGCTCGGGTCTAAAATGTATTTGGGTGTTCCCTGCGAAGTCCCCGGGAGCAGAATCTGCTCTTGGCACCATTTGAGCCTGGTGAATAAGCTGGAGGATGGGGAATTAGCTGTAACCGTCGTGCCTGCGTGCTTCATCCCTTTGAACAGTCGGTTGATGTGACAGCGTGGGCACTGACGCGGCCCCCGGGTATGTTTGGCTGCAGCTACTGTGACATTATGTGCAGCTGGTGTGCATGACTCAGAGACCAGAGGGGCCAGAGCTGAAATCCAGAGGTCCTTGAGGACATGGCGAGGACAGGGCGGAACGGTCATGGCACTCGGCAGCCAAACTCCTAGGAACGTTGCCCAAAAGATGCTGTTTGGACGGCAAAGCCAGAGGTGACTTGGGTCCACCCTGTGCCAGCCTGGTGTAGGAGTCTTGGAAGCCAAGAGCATTCTTCGGCAGCACCTCCGGGGTGCGAAGGGTTGGGGTGCGATAAGGAGGGGAAGAGAATTAGCTTCTGCACTCCTGAGTGCGGGTCTCTGGCTCCAGATTTCTCTCACTACTCCAGAAATGCTACAGCTTTGTGCCCTCTGCAGAAAAGTGGTCTCCAGGCTTACGGCACAGAGCTATTCCCAATGCCACCAACGTGCAGCCCTTCTGCGGGAGGCTCCAGATGGAGCAATGTGTCCCATGGACCGGGAAATTAATCTGCAGGAAAATCCTTGGGGATGAGCAGCTTGCAGAGCCCCCGGGAGCCTGGCTTGAGGGGCTTCAGAGGATGGAGGAGAGACCACGGGGGCTTGAGGTGCTGGTGGCACCGGGCAGCGCTGCCAGCACCAGC